AGAGAGAGAGAGAGAGAGAGAGAGAGAGAGAGAGAGAGAGAGAGAGAGAGAGAGAGAGAGAGAGAGAGAGAGAGAGGCAGGCACAGAAACAGACAGGCAGACAGACAGACAGACTGGCAGAGAGAGAGAGATAGGGAGGGATCTACCCACACACTTGGAAGCGAGAAAAGGAAAAGAAACAGAGCAGTTCTTCAGGCATGAAACCCCAGAAGTTAGCACCGGGGAAAAAGGAAAATAGGAACCAGCTTCCTGTCCTTTATTTGATTACAATAGAAACCTCTAGAACGATCGAGGTGAGAAGAGCAGCCTTAAGAGCTAACCTGAATTCCAATGATTTCGTTCCGTTTAATCATATTGTGTCGAGACACCATCCTTTCGAAACTCATGCCAGGTGCTTCCCCATGACCATCCATTGTCTTGCACAGTTCGACGTTATCCACACCGGCTTATCCACCAAGTGGTCCTCCTTGCACATTTCACACTTCCAACCTTGTCCACAATTCACCTTGTCCACTTTGTGGTCCTTGCCCACTTTGCAGTTCCAGATAAGCACCACTTTATCCACCTTCTGGTCCTTCTCCCACCCACTTCGATCGAGATCCCAATTCCATCCCCGTCATGACCTTGTCCATTTCTCACTCTCTCTTTCCCACCTTTCTGACATCAGAATCTTACCCTCGCCACATCCATCCACTTTACAGGCATAATACTACATTATCCACATCCGTGTCCTCCATGTTCTCCCAATCCTCCTTCCCTAACTTGCGACCCGAATCTCACCTCACCACCTCAAACCTACTTTTCGACCCTGCAGGGCCCAACTTGACCACACTGCCTTGCCCACTTTCTGGTCCTTCTCAAAGCTGAGAAGCAGAAAAAGGGATTTGAACCATCGACCTTACTCTTGGCAACGCTGCCAACCCCACCAGCTTATCCGCTTTCTTGTCCTTCTTGCCCTCTATTGCATCCCAGTGTTTTCCTTGCCAAGGGGGCAACTCAGTCCCAAACCCGTCCCAAGCCTGTCCGCCTGACAACAACCCCAAATATCTACGCTTCTAGAATTACAATGACACTATTTGGATGAGAACCCGCTTTCATCTCTAAGTTCTCTAACCGGCACTACAAGCGGTATTGGGAACAGTAGAAACTATCACATAGTGTCTATCATAGACCTCGGAGAGAATATAATGGGGCCATCCCTTAACTGGACAATGAAGATACCAACACAAGACCTGAGCAGAATTTTCACTGCGTATAGAACCAAAAACATGGGTTGTGATGGGGCGATCCCTTAACTGGATGCAAACTGATAAAGTAGCTGTCAAAGTCAACGTAGATCCTGCCGCAATGGCTGAGGTGTGAACGTTCTGAGATACCCAGACCTATAACACCAGTGTGTCAAACGAGCTTCCAATACTTCCCAAGCCCTCCTGCTTGGTGCCTCTCTTCCCTTATGCTGTTCCGGCGTTTGGTTCGGGGCAATCGACTGCCAGGCAGTGACCACACATAAAGGATCCGCGCGAGTTTCAGAACCCTGCCAAGCCCGTGTGAGGTTCTGGCCTTTGCTTCGGGGCTATCTACTGCCCCACAGTGACCATGTGTTGACTGTACATTAGCACAACAGACCCCTGATGTCACACACCAAGTATCCTCTTCCCCTTGCCCCCCCCCGACCCTGCCATCGCCTCCCCACCCGCTAAGGTTGCCCCAGGCAGCTCAAACCTCCTCTCATGATTTCCTTCTTCTCCCCCATCTGCTCCTTTGACCCAGCCATATCTCCAAGGCTCGGATCCTCTCTCTCTCTCTCTCTCTCTCTCTCTCTCTCTCTCTCTCTCTCTCTCTCTCTCTCTCTCTCTCTCTCTCTGCCGTGAGTTCACACACACAAACACTTTCCCCCCGCTCTCTTTCTATCTAGCATACGCATACGAGCGCACGAGCAACACAAAATGTCAGAGAAAATCACAACTGTACAGAATCAACAACAAGTCAACAACTGCTCCTAACTCGACTCTCTCCAAAAATACGAAACATACTTCAACTCCTTTCAAAAGTTGCAATGATACTTTTTTCTCTCTGCCCTTCTAAATGTTCACAAATACGAAGCACTGCATGACAAGCACTTCTACATGTTTAAATACAAAGCACTCCATCGCCAGCACGAACAGTCTTGACCAACAAAGTAATGGCAGCATTAAGAGAAACACCACGTCCCCGAGGAGATCCATTGATTCTCCGATTCCAAAATCATCACAAGTCCTCCTTCATACAACTGAGCTAATTAATCTCTTGTCTCAGCACCCACCCTCAACGCAAAGTACCCATAGGCACTGAAAACGCAACAGATCTGTATTTCCGTTTTGAAAAATCAGTCAAAGTTGAGCAACTGGTCATCGTCGAGATCGTCTTTGTCTGGCGATTGCAAGAAGTCTTCGGGATCTGGCGTCAGAAGAGGCGAGGAATCTGACAGACTCGCTAGAAGACCCCCATCTAATCCCATGTTGTTGTTCAGCTCTCCTGCCAGATCTGACAGACTGAAGTTCCGTGGCAATGCGCCCAGCGAACTCAGGGATTCCTTCTGGGACTCGGGTTCTGGCATCGTCAACGAGAGGCTATTCATTGCGCTTGGTGTACTCGTGTCCGATGCTGTAAGAGAGGCCTCGTATGCATGTTCCAAGGGCAATGCAGTACCGAGTCCGATCCCCACCATGTCTGACCCTGGAGCAGGGATGTTCCCAAAGGGAAATCCCTGCACAGTGGGCATCGACATGGGAGGCGCTGGCGCCGGGCCCATGTTCCCGAGCGTTATGTCGCTGCTCACAGCAGGAATACCCGTTGCTGCTGCTCCCATCGGTGGCGTCAACCCGATCATCATGTCCATCATGCGATTACCAGCTGGGGATGCTTGTGCAGGTCCTACATAGGCACCCGGCACAGGTGTCCCGTTCACAACAGGCTGCCCTGTCGCCGGAGCCATTGGCAGCAGTCGATGTGGCGTGCCAATCCCTGTTTGCATTGGGGGCGCTGGATATCCTATAGGGGCAATCGGCCCATGCGCCCGGACTCCATTCGTTGGGATCCCAGTTGCTGGAGCAAGTGCATTGCCTTGAGGCATTGCTTGCTTGTACGACAGTTGCATCTGCTCCATCTTATGTACCTGGCATGCCAACAGGTTGTTGAAAGCGTGAATCTGTTCCTTAAGTTTGAGACGGACATAGTAGGCTTTGAAGAACTCCGGATTCTGCTCTTCTAGCTTCTGCCACACCAGACTTGTGAAATCGGGCCCTATCTTCGCATGATACTGGAGCGAAGTGATCACCTCACGCTGATTCAGATAAAGCTGCAGACAACGTTCGATCAGATTCTGAACCAGCTGGATGTCATCGCATGAGATCTTCTGTCCGTCACGCTCTGGTGGTGTTTCCGCAGCAGCAGCAGCAGCAGCAGCAGCGTTGCCTGGTGTAGAGTTGTTCACTAATCTCATCTGCCCACTTGGTGATTGGGACCCCGCTTCAGTAGTTTGGGCCCCAGCTTGGGATCCAGGTTGGGATGCAGATTGGGACCCAGATTGGGACCCAGATTGGGACCCAGGTTGAGATCTGAACGGGGACCCAGTAGCCTGCAACCCACCAGGTTGAGACCCAGCAGGTTGGGACGCAGCAGGCTGGGACACCAGTTGGGAACCAGATTGGGACCCAGATTGAGATGCAGGTTGGGACCCAGGTTGACTTGCTGTGTTCTGCACGCCAGGATTTGGTCCGGTCACAGGTAGTGCTTGGGCAGGCTGTTGCTGTTGTTGCTGTGCCTGACTTGCTGAATGTCGATGCGCGGTTGATGATGACGCTGGGTACCCTCGTACTTGCATACGCGGCTGCCAAGGAGTTGACGAGCCAACAGGCAAATGTGCCCCACCTTGTGATCGTTTCTTCGGCTCCTGCTCTGGCTCCTGCTTCAGGACAGGGGGAGGCCCTGACTTCAATTGCACATGTGGGTGCAAGTGTGGCTGTGCCCCTGCTCGCGCTTCATTCTGTGCCTCTGACAGTGCCAGGTCAGGTGTTTGCCCTTGCTGCTGCTGCTGCTGCCGCTGCTGCTGCTGTGGCTGCCGTGACTTTGGTGGGAGCTGTGGCTTTGGTTTCACATCACAGTGCGGCAACGTAGCCTTGCTAGGGTGTGTCTGATCAGTGTCCGCCGGTGGATGACATGCACGCGCCATTGCTGGAGCCTGTAGCACCACCGTTTGTTGAGGCTCCTGCTTCACGGGTATGACAGCCACGGCATTCACCCGCACTTTGGACTTAGCATGCTTGGACTTGGGGCTCTCCTTTGGCAGATGCCGTGTGGGCTCTGCAAGTTGGGGAGGTACTAGGGGAGTCTGAGACTGATGCATTGGTGCTGCCATTCAGACTCTCATAAGCAAAGGAACTGTGCAAGCCCAAGCTATTCACTCACCTCCTTCCATAACCTGGTCAAGCGCCCTGTCCAAGTGCGCCCGACCATGTATTGCAAGAGCCGACAAGGCGCAGTGCTCACGATCGCTGCTACCTCCGGAGCTTCGTCCCACAGGCACCCCGAACATAATGGCCGGGACGAATCATCTGCAAATCATGTGATCCTTGTTGAGGTGAGACCACACGGTTGACCATGGCATGTAAGTCCAAGGTGCACAGTTCCGGCAAACTGCCAGCAAGCAATCACCAAACTTTCTTTTTTTCCTTTTTGGAAAGAAAAAGGGTAGGGTCAAAAACAACAAAAAAACATTCATTGGCTGCATCATGCCACGATTGTGTCCTACCGACCAATCAAAGCTCAGCAGTTGTATAACAATAAACAACTCGCTCTCCTCGACTATCTCGATGATGCCTCCTCATCCAAGGGGAACATTATTCCTGCACTCAATAGCATTAACAGTTTACGCTTCCTTCCTTCCTTCCTTCCTTCCTTGACAATGATATGGGACTAACACTTCCTTCCTTCCTTCCTTCCTTCCTTCCTTGACAATGATATGGGACTAACACACCATAGCTCCAACCAGGACTCTGCTCTGTGCCACGCAAAGGATAAGACAGAGGCATGATGATTCCCAGCTCTCCCATTCTCAACAATTTTCTCTGCTTTTTCCTAGGTCACTTGTGATATCTTCTGAGAGTTACCTGCGTTCATTAACTCGTCCTATAAAATCTCCACAAATCCCAAGATCGCCACCTTCAGAAAGATTCCCTTCACAAAGATCCTCATGCTACAGGTACAAGTTAGACTCAGCAGTGCAGCAGCCATACTAATACACTTCAGGGTTCTCAAACTGTACATACTCCGCTGATTAGTTACTGTTGCTTATGGCCATATAAGTACAGATACTACGGTCTTCACCCGAACAGAACGCCCGGTAATTAAGCCATATCTGGGCTGAAAGTTGTGCCAAATACAGCTACAATGACTGGGTGTTATATTCGGGTGAAGACGGTAGCTCATAAACAATCCAATACAGATGAAAGCTACACCTACTGAATGGTGCCGCTATAGCCGATCGCTATACAGATGTAAGCTAGGCCTACTGAATTGTGTCGCTATAGCCAAATCCTATACAGATATAAGCGACAACTGCTGAATTGCGTCGCTATAGCTGCTTGCTAATGGGAGTGGAGGTGCTAAATAAAGATCACACCTTCCAGTGTCTCAGCAGTTATAGCGTATATTCTCCAACCGCAAAGAAATGCCAACACCCCAGTACCTGACCCCAAATAGGGAAATCCAACAATCGTACCTCAGTTGGCTAGATGCCACTCCTACCATAGCTGAAACATCGGTGGTTCATTGTTTCCAGAATGTTGTCTATAACTTCTTGTTGTGTCACATTCGGGTTTTTTTTTTTTTTTTTTTTTTTGTTCGTAATTTGTTCGTGGCTATGGTCATATTTGTTATGCCTACAGCACCTTTGGTAACCTGGTTTCTTTGCGTCTTCTCGGCCCTCTGTGTGGCACCATGGCTGCCGGAGGGTCCAATATCATGACTACGTGTATGCTCACACTTGCACTTTCCTGTACGCATCTGGGCATTAAAGTGGCCGGGATTCGGTGAAAAGAGTATTAGTGTGAATACACCCTAATTGATCAAGAAGCAGAAATGGGTAACCCTCAGCTCCTACCAAGGTACTGCTGCCACTACTTCTGTGCCTGTAGACAGCACGAAGAAGGGAGGGCAGTGACATCGGCAAACAGGAGGTCAAGTTCTGCAGACAAAGTGGACAGTAGAGTAGTCTCCAAAGTAGGAGATCGGCACTGCTGACTTCATATTTAGGCACCAGTTGAGAGGTTGCAAAAATATTATAAAAAGGCCGCAATCACAGCTTTGCAAAGTTCTGCGCCGACATCATGGACCAGCAGAGAACCCCCTCATGCAGAGGCTAGCAAACTTTGTTTAAAAGGGAACAACCCCTGACACTATTGTATGCATCGGACTCTATAGAGATCCGAATTCATGACCTCTTTACTAACAATTGCACGTCATAGTGTAGCCTAGAGTAAAGCAAATCGCTCATTCCTTCCAATGATTCATAAAGCTACGAGCATTACATGACCAGAGCCGTAAAAGGGGAGGACCCAGTTAGGCATTGGCACGTGAGTGTTAATTACCCCCCCACCAATAAATAGATACAAATAGGGATAACCAAACCACATCAACAAAACGCCAATACCAAGGGGGGCAGCTTCAAACCCAAAAAGGTGTCTTCGAGTAAAATGACCCATGTACTGACGAACACAACAGATAATAAGAAAACTGGTTCCTACGATGACATGAAAGCAAGGCAGGTATCAATAAACGCCCACTGCCTTTTCTAATGCATACTGATGCAAAAGGCGCCCGGGAGGATCACTACCGCCTTCCCCCGAATAGGAGTACAGTCATTAATGCTGTATTTGGAGCAACTTCAAGTCTAGATCGGCCATTATGACCGGACATTCTTTTTGGATGAAGGCGGAATAGCAAGCAAGCTAATGAAGCTTGCTATGGTGTTAGAAGTCAGTGTGGCAAGTGTAGTGAGCAACAGACACAATTGCTAGCTAGACGTAGCAAGTGAAGCAGCTTGTAGCAAGCAGGACTAGTTCACCAGCCATAGTAAGGGAACAGGACTGGCTTGCCGCAGCTATAGTAAGTGAAGGCCACCCTTCTCCTTCCTCTTCCTGAAGGTCGAGGCTATGGCGAACAGCTAGGGCCTTGCCCTGATGTGCAAAAGACAACTGAAAGCAGCTATGGCTGCTCTGGGTTAGGCCGCCATGCCTGATTCTGCCTCGAAGCTTCTTGATGTAGCTCTACCCCCAATGGGACCTTACAGATGCAGCGCCCACCAAGGTGATGAAGATGGCATCCACCATAGCCAGGTAAATACCTCTGGCGCTCCCCCTTCCTAGTCCTCCTCTTCCTCCTCCTCCAGCCCGAGCTCTTCCATCATAGCCAAGGTGGGGAGCTGGGTGCTCCTCTTCCCCACACAGCACTGCACTCCAGCGCTCCAGCCGCATGACTCCAAACTTGCACGCTGCCTGGAGATATAGCGGCCAGCTTGCCTCTTGGGCGGTGACCTTCCAGACCGCACGGCCTCCAAGCAACCGGTACCTCCTACCTTTCGGAGGGAAACATCATTGCAGACTCTGATATTACCCGTACAGGCCCTAGACTCAGACTACTTAGACTGGTACCTGCCTAGACCTAGCCAACAACTACTGGGACGCTTGCCTCTTGGGCGGTGACCTTCCAGGCCGCGTGGCCTGCACGCAACCGGTACCTCCTCCCTTTCGGAGGGAAACATCATTGCAGACTCTGATATTGCCCGTACAGGCCC